AGGGTTTAGGGTTTAGGGTTCAGGAATAAACCTGCGGAGGAAGTCCTCCATGGACTGCTCGAGAGAGGGGATCGGAAGCCGCGGGAGGGTGCCCTGTGTTTCAGGGTCCAGGGTTAGTTTACGGTTTAGAGTTTAGGGTTTAGGGTTTAGGGCTCAGGGCTAAGGGTCAAGGGTTCAGTGTTTAGGGTTTAGGGTTTCGGGTTCAGGGTTCAGGGTGTAGGGTGTAGGGTTCAGGGTTTAGGGTTCAGGGTCCAGGGTTCAGGGTTCAGGGTTGAGGGTTCAGGGTCCGGGATGTGCCTGGTGCTGGTCCATGGCACCCTTCCCACAATCCTTGAGCAATCTTCAGGGTTCAGGGCTGAGGATTCGGCGGGCATTGAAATCCCCAACCCTCAGTCCAACAACAACGAGAGGATGAGGGGGGGCTAGGGTTTAAGGTTTCGGGTTCAGGATGTAGGGCAGGGCTTAGGGTTTAGGGTTAAGGGTTTAGGGTTCAGGGTTCAGGAATTAGGGTTCAGGGTTTAGGGTTTAGGGTTTAGGGTTGGTCTGTCGGGGTTCCCCGCGCGACGGTTGACTGAAAGATTAGATTTTCATGGGTCCGGGGTGTGCCTGGTGCTGTTCCATGGCACCCTTCCCGTAGTCCTTGAGCAGCGCCAGTGCCTGAGTTCAGGAATTAGGGTTCAGGAATTCGGGGTGCAGGGTTCAGGAATTAGGGGTTCAGCAGCGCCAGCGCCATCTCGTACTCAATCGTGTGCTAGGTTGAGGGTTACACCTACCACACGATCCACACGGTGGACGACGGACCTTTCATCAAAAGTCAACCTGCCTCGAGGCAGTTAACTTTAAGGCTTTTCTGGTACAAATTTGGTCACGTTACCCACAGATATCCAGGGTCTCGAAACCCTCGTAGTCCACCGTGTGGTGAGCGTGTGCAGAATGAGTCGCTGTCGCTTTCGGGTTTGGGGTTCGGGGATTAGGGCTCTAGCTCTGCCTCAGGCTATTTGGGCTACTCAGTTTGGTGAGGTGGGGCTCTTTCGCGCCCCAAAGTTGACGGATGCGTACCGCATACCCAGCATGTCAACTTCAGGATGCTCTTTTCCTTTCGTTTGGTGGCAACGAAAATTACTACACAATTCGTTCTTATTAGTAGTATTAAAGCATTCGTGTAGTAGTTTTCGTTGCCATCAAATGAAAGAAAAATAGGTTTTCCCGGATAAGCCAACCCGAGTGAGGCAGAGCTACAACTCGACGGTTCCCATCCAAGCATGGCTCTGGCCCTCACTCGGGTTGACAGACTGTTCTCAAGTTGTATTCTGAGGTGCTAGGAGGAGCCCAGCGATGCATCGACGCCGCCGAGCTGCCCGGGGCTTTTGAGATCTGTGTGTATTTATTGGACGTGTTGGTAGTAACTTTTTGTACCGGCTGCTTACTAATACCGGACGTGTCAGTAGTAAAAGGACACCCTTTCTCGAGCGTGAGCCCAGAGGGGAGTGATTGCATTTCGGAACACAACTGAATCAGTTGCGCATCGTAAGGCTTCCAACGCTGAAGATAAGGTTATCCGGGGAAACCTATTTTTCTTTAGTTTGATGGCAAGGAAAATTACTACACAACTCGTTCTTATTAGTAATATTAGAGCATCTATGTAGTAATTTTCCTTGCCATCAAACTAAAGAAAAATAGGGTTCCCCGGATAAAAGGGTGGATATGCTCCGGGCGGTGGCCCGCCGGTATTATCCGAGGAAACCTCTTTTCCTTTCATTTGATGGCAACGAAAATTACTACACAATTCGTTCTTATTAGTAGTATTAAAGCATTCGTGTAGTAATTTTCGTTGCCATCAAATGAAAGAAAATTAGGTTTCCCCGGATGAGGCAGGCTCCCGGCACCCTCGTGGGGCCCTGCTCTCTTTTGGGGGGGGATAGGTGCATGGAGAATAGGTGTATGATGATTGCATGGCCCGATGGCATGCCGCCACCGCCTCGCTCCCCTAGAGGGAGCTCAAGGGTTGATGATACAGGGGTACCTCGCTCGTAAGAAAGCACCTCCCCCCCCTCAGGACGACCACAGAGCCCTAGGCATAGGCATACTGTAAGGTCCTAGGAGGAGGCGCTTTCGCATGATCGAAGCACCCCCCCGATACGGATCTCAAGGGTGAGGAAACGTGGCGACCACCATTGCATGTCGCGATTGTGTGCCAAGCTTCACGCCGTATCCACGCTGGGGGGTTGGTACCGGGCGTCGCACGATTCCTAGCTCTACCTCACTCGGGCTGGCTCACTATGATAAAGTCGACATGCTTCGGACCGGAGCAGAGCTCGGGCTCACCAAATTGGTGAGCCCGAATAGACTGCGATAGCGCTAGGATTCACGGCGCCCCCTGGCAGGATATCTAGCTCTGTCTCAGTCTTTTTGGTCTCACCAATTTGGAGAGACCGGGCTCGTTTCCGCTCCAAAGTTGACGGGTTTGAACCGCACACCCAGCATGTCAAGTTGAGAATAGTGTGACAGTCGTACCGAGTGTGGCAGAGCCAGGATATGGTGTATTTGTCGCGAAGATACGAGCGCCAAGCTTGACCCGGGCAGGGGGGGCCCACAGGGCAGGGGACCAAAAGGGCATGACCATCCACCAGGACTCCGAAGTGGCCCTACCGAGTCCGTTTCCGTCGTCCGATTTGCATGGAGAAGCTGCCCTGGTCATGCAACTCCCTGCTACAAATAGGACGACGGATAGGGAGCAGATCCGGAGGAATGGTGGATATGGGGCCCGGTGTCGCGTTCCCAGGGAGGGTTGGTGCTTGGGGCTGCCCAGCGAGCCGCCGTTGTTGCGGCACGGATAGGGCGGCGGAAGCGCCCAGGGATGCAGGTGGTGGGGGCGTGGGCGCTCCCGGATCCGCGTTGCAGGTTGTGTGCACATCCTGATGGAGTGCAGTAGCTGTGCGTGGCGGAGGTGGGAGGGGGAAGGGGGGGGGGCGGGTCACGCACGTCCTGGAGCCGCGCGTTCATGGAGTCGTCTGTGTCCATTGTTGGCGGCGGAGGGTGCTCCTCGAGGGCTGCGGGGCGAGGGTTTCAGAAGGTTGGGGTGCTTGCCACGTGGCATCACCCTGGGGGTCCGCATCGGGGCATGCTGGTGTCAGTGTGCCGCGCAGCTCTGAAGGGGGGGGGCGAGGAGACGGAACCCGCTGCGTCCACCCTCGGTACCGTCCCGCCCCGCAACGAGTTGCGGGCAGAGGGTGACCATAAGAATGGGGGGAATCAGGACCCGGGTGGCATGTTGGGGGGCTGACTGGAGTGGGGGAGGACGGTCGAGGGATGAGGGTCTCGGGTGGGGGTCGGGGTTTGCGGCAGGGGGCGGGAGGGGCGCGGGTGCCGCACCCCGTGTTGGCCGGTTGCACCTCCGAGGTGGTGTGCAGTCCCCCCCGGATCCGCCCCTGAGAGGCGGCGACCCGAAAAGCGGTCGCCTCTGCCCCCCCCCGATGCAGCGCTGGTATTTTTACAAACGGGGGAGCTGTCGGACATCATGCCGGGATAAATGAGCATGACTGCGTGGCCTAATGGACAAGGCGTCTGCCTTCGGAGCAGAAGATTGCGAGTTCGAGTCTCGTCGCAGCCAATTTTTTTTCTCGAATTATGCGGGCGTCTTAGAGTCTTCTTTTTGTCTCTAGGGGCCCTTTGGCACCCTTTGGGCCTCGCAGCCAAAAATTCGTCTCTATGTTTTCACGCACATAGGGGTGTTCCTTTTTACCTTTTGGCGCCCTTTGTTACCTTTCTGGGCCCCTTTTGGGCCTGTACTAGCCTTTTTGAGCCCCTTCTGAGCCTGCGGACCCTAAACCCTTCTTCCCACCCCTCCCCTTCTTTTGCCTTTTTGAGCCCCTTCTGAGCCTGCGGACCCTGAACCCTTCTTCCCACACCTCCCCTTCTTTTTGGAAGACAGGCCCCTCATGATCTTTCGTTTTGCCCTTTGGCACCTTTTTGAGCCCCTTTTGGTCCTCTCATATCCCCTTTTTGACCCCGCAGGCCCCTCGACACCCTGAGGTGTTATTCGAGTCTTCTCCTCCCTTCGACATCACCCGACTTCGTACCCCACCCTCGTACAACCCAGTTGGTGCATCATCGCGCCCAGTAGCCTCCCATAGACCCCTGTCAAAATTCGTTTCCGAGGTTCGAGCCCTTAATGGCCTTCCTTTTTGGACGACAGGCCCCTAAGGATCTTCCTTTTTGTCCCGGCTGGCCCTTTTGACACCCGGGTTGTCTTTTTGGGAGCCTCTAAGAGCCCCTTTTTTAGTCCCCAAGAGCCCCTCTGTCTGATTCGAGCCTTCCCACCCCTTCGACATCTCCCGATTTTGTATGAGCTCGTAGACGTCTATGATACCCCACCCTCGTACAAACCGCCTGTCGCCTCATCGCGCCGAATAGTCTCCCATCGACTCCTCGGTCGCAAGCCCGCATCTTTCAGCGCCCCCTCGGGCCTTCGTTTTATCCCGCAGGAGCCCCTCGTCGGCGGCTCACCTCTCTGCTCACCGACTTTTCCAGCCCCCGTCGGGGGGCAAAAGGGCCCTCTGTCCATCCCGGAGGAGCCCCTCCTCGATGGCGCGTGTGTCGATTTTCGACATTCGCTTTTCTCGATTTTCGATTCTGTCGAACTCGCAATCTTCTGCCGCCTCGATTTTTGGTTTCCGCGATTTTCGATTTCGATTTTTCGATTTTCGATTTTCGCGATTTTCGATTCTGCACGACCCACCTCACGGACCCGCCAAGCCAGATCACGTCGCGCGCCCCCCAGGAGTAGACGGCTCTTCTTCCACCAAAATCGCCTTCTACTCGATGATGACAAACCGCGTGGCCGAGATGAAATCCGAGATGAGATTATTCCGGAGCGGCACCCGACCTTGCGAAATCAACGAAATCTCGGGAGGGAGGAGGGCTGGCGCTGCCAAACCTCCGCCATGATCGTGTACAACATCATGGGCTTCGGCTCCGAGCGCGTGAACCCGGCGTGCACGTACTACGGGTTCGGCCCGGGGCGGGCGCTGGACCGCAGCCCGCGGGAGGACGGTGGGGTGGCGCACGACGGCGCCGGGGGGTTCGGCGTCTTTGACGCGCCGTCGCAGCGGGCGGCGGCCTCGGCGCAGGGGGGTTCGGGCAACGAGGAGCACGGCGAAGCCAGCCAGCCTCCACCCAATGTTCGTCCCCTGCCCCCTCCTGCATTGCGCAGCCAATTTCAGCGCGCAACCTCCTGCGGCTGACGCGGCCCGCCCGTGTTTCCAAACCCCCCCTCCCGCGCGCAACCTCCTGCAGCTGACGCTGCTTCCCCGTGTTTCCAAACCCCCCCTCCAGCCCGCAACCTTCTCTTTCGGCTGACGCGACCCGCCCGTGTTTCGCAGTTCCCCGGATACCCCGCCGCGGACGCGCGGCCCTGCACGAAGGTCCGCTGCGTCGGGAGCAAGAAAAACTGCCCGGGCACGCACTGCTGCGAGTCCACCATCTGCCCGCTCTCGCCGGGGCCCGCGCGCGCGGACGGCAAGGACCTGGGCGCTCTCTGCGAGCGCGCGGTCCCCTCGTTTCGCGGGCGGGAGCAGGGCGCGGCGCTGCTGATCTGCTTCTCGTGTCTGCTAAACCCTAAACCCTAAACCCTAAACCCTGACCCCCAAACCCTGAACCCTAAACGCTACACCCTGCACCCTGAACCCCAAACCCTACACCCTACACCCTGAACCCTGAACCCTACACCCTAAACCCTAAACGCTGCACCCTAAACCCTGCACCCTGAACCCTGAACCCTGAACCCTACAACCTGAACCCTGAACCCTAAACCCTAAACCCTAAACCCTAAACCCTGAACCCTACACCCTGAACCCTGAACCCCATACCCTGAACCCTAAACGCTGCACCCTGAACCCTGATCCCTGAACCCCGAACCCTGAACCCTGAACCCTGAACCCTGAAC